AAGACTTCAAAAGCAAATAATTGGCTTACACGATATTGAAGGTCTTCTTTCAGGGACTATTGTTGTATGCTTTTGAGTGGCTTGCGACTCATAGCAACCCTATGTACAGCAACTCCGTGCCCTGTTCTATTCAGGAACTTAGTTTATGTAATGCTGACGTCCCCCCCAATCCTCAAATAGTGCTAGACTACAAGGAGATCCACTTACTTATTTGAGTTCTGAAGAGTCAAACATTTCTTTTTTATGAGACTAAGGTGTGCCTGATACAGGCCATGGTTTTTGCAATCACTTGTTATGCATCAGAGAGTTGGACAATGACTAGGAAGGATAGAAGGAGAATTGACGCCTTTGAGCTGTGGTACTGGAGAAGAGTATTGAATGTACCATGGACTGCCAAGAAAACAAACAGATTGACCCCAGAGAGGGTTAAACCAGGCTGCTCCTTGGAGGCAAGGATTCTGGGGCTTCGCCTGACATACTTTGGACATGTTGTAAGGAGAGATAGGTCTTTAGAGAGGGACATCATGCTGGGCAGAGCGGAGGGACAGCGCAGGAGGGGAAGACCCTCTGAGGTGGATTGATTCAGTGACTGAGGTAATCGGGATGGGTGTGTCAGAGGCAATGAGATTGGCACAGGATAGAGCAGGGTTTAGGGCTATTGTACATAGGGTCGCTATGAGTCACAAACAATCGACGGCACATAACAACATCATCATTTAAGCCAATTATTTGCTTTTGAAGTCTTGAAGACAGGGAGTTCTGATGGCCCAGACCATAGTGAGTTGCACCACTCAACTCTAAGGAGGTGCCTCTCCAGAGTTTCAGACCTATCAGCTGCTCAGAAAGATGGACGGTTTCCTCGCTGTCACTTACAGACTCAGTGTGGACTATCAGATTTCAGCCCTACAGAAGTGCGAGATAATAAGTTGAGTGGTTTTAAACCTCTATGATTGCGGTCATTAAAACAGCCCTCAACTCAACGCTGCTAAGTCTGAACAATCCAATCGCTGTTTTCAGAGGCTGTGAATGGCCCGAGAGAATGCCCATCATTCTAAGCAGCAGCTGGTAGATTCCGCCTGTCTGCCTTTGAGTTGGCAGCACAACTCCTCAGCCAGTGAAACGAGTAAAAGCTTTCAGCTTTTCAACAAGCAGCAGGCTGTCTGCTGTAGTTTTGGTGGGTGTGCACATGTGTTTGCTTCTACGCTCCTGGTTTCTGAAATGGGATGAAACCAAATGTTTCCTCTGTCAGCTGAATGTCCTCCTGGGCTGATGCAGCTCATGGCTGAGTTTTGTCCTGTTCTTTCTTAACTTCCACCATTCTTTAAATTCTTTCAGCTGGTTTTAAACAAGCTACCGTCTGCTTTGTGGGTGTTTCTGGGCCATCTTTATCTTCTGTAGATGAGTTGGGCAGATTCATTGTTTTCTTGAATTCACTGTAAGAAAAAGTTTAAGTGAGACAGGGTTTTGAAGACCTGTCATTGTAGTGGGGTGAGGAGTTGTTAGTGTCCTAGCTTTGTGGTTCTTGGGGTCTCGCTTCTGTTGTTCTGACAGGAAATGCCAGAACACAGGTAAGGCAAAGACTCTGCAGAGAAAGAAAAGGCGAATGTTTTCCACTAAGAAAGAGCAACAGAAAAGTGGGGAGACTCAGCCTTTGCAAAAGCAGAAACGCTGACAAACTGAGAAAAGCGGGACAGTCCTCCCGAGTCCTGCCCTTCCAGTGTTTGGTTTTTCACTCCACTGGCATCAACACTTTATCCTAGAGTCCTGTCCATGTCAATTGGTGTTCTAGTCCTAACAGTTTCTCTTGATGGAGGTCTGTGCCCGTTGACTCCGAGAACGCTGGGGCCACTGAGAAGCACCTTGCTGCTGTTCTGAGGCCCCTCTTACTGGCTGCCTGATGGGACAGCTTTCTCACTAGTTAACTGTGGTGTTTGAGAAACCTGCCAGTAGAGAACCACGGCACTGTGCGAACTCTCCCTCTGGGGACGGCATGCGCACTCAGGACAACCCTTATTTCCTCTCCTTGTTGCTCGACAGCTGCCTGGTCGCTTTGGTGCTGTCCTAGTTTATGTGCAGATGGCACCACTGTGTTTCCTCGTTTGCTCTCCTCTGTTCTGTAAGGATTTGGGGGATGAACAACTGCGCTGCAGCTGCCACCCTGCCTCTGCCAGGGGTGTACTTCCATTACAGTATTTCAGTGACAAGCATCTACTTACATTCTAATATCCAGGACAGCACAGATTACGGCTCAGTGGTAAGGAACTGTGCTGTCAACTTAAAGGCACACGGTTTAAATCCACCCACTGCTCTGCAGGTTAAAAATGGGCAATCTCCTCTGGTGCGATTTACTGCTTCTGAAAACCCACTGGAAGGTCAGCTATTGTCGGTTCTGACTCAACAGCGCACAATGGGTCTAAACACAAGCATTTCTTGTGCTTCTTACAGCCTAGAGTCAGAAGTCACCTCTCCTCCAGGCAGTAGTTCATATGCCCAGACCGCTTCTGTTCTGCAAAGCCTTTGCTTTGGAGCCAGATGGAAAAGCAAGGGAGTCATGGCTGAGTTAACACCAGGCCTGAAGGGAGGCATACCACTTGCCTCACATTTCACTGACCAGAACTCTCGCTGTAAGGTCCCCAACAAACTGGAAGCAGTGCTTGGAAACGTGGAGAAGTACTAAGACCCTCTGTCATAGCTGTACCGTTGCCCGGGCAACGTGGTGAGAGTAGATGAGAGAGAAGAATGCTGGGCCTGTCTCTTCACGTAACCGTAATAGGATTCACGATGCAGTCTAATCAAAGAACATGTCACTACAGTTTTTCTTAGATGAGGTTTTAATTCCATTAGTATTTTAAATCTTTTTTTTTTAAAAAATCATAAATCAAGTATTTTTCAAGCCTGCAAACCATGTCTACATAAATAGTCTTCAACTGCTGACATGTTTTGAGGGGATAAGGCAGCATGTGATTTAAAAAAATAAAGTATTCCAATTACAGAGCCTCCAGTTCAGTATGTCTTTTTGAATTATAAAGGATTAAACTATACAAGTAACATATAAAATAAAAGCATGGTAGTTTGACATCATTTATAAATGTTTTCACATACATATTAAGTGTTCAATATACACACCTCATGAGCAATCTAGCCTTAAGACAATGATTTTTTATTACTTTCAGCCTTCTATATTTGATACTATAAATATAATATTGAAAAGTTGGCAAAATATTTAAATAAGAAATAAGTTTGTGAAAATTTACAAAATACAACCAAAGTCCACTGGCTGGTAATCTTATCTTACATGTTGGAATTTTACTTTTCTAGGATCTGAGCCAGAAGCAATTTATCCAGTTTTCTATTGTAAACTTGCATATTATATAGCAACTCTTAAAATATTTATTATTAAAGTATTTATGAAAGTGGCATCTACACCACAGCAATTCCCTTTCTTTTAAGACACATCATCGGAAGGCACCCTTTAATTACCAGCATTTACCTCAATAGCAGTTTTAAGTTTTACATTTCCAGTCATTTTCCAGTACCTGGAAGTTAGGATAACAGAGGGTGGAGGGAGGTAGGAGAACAGTTTTCCAATAAACTCCACAAGGGCTGCAATGCTACTACACACGCATGGCTGTGAGAGCGAGAAAGAGGAGGAGAGGAGAACTCAAGATCTGTCTTCGGCCTTAATTTAACTGTCACAAAATAATTATTACAAAGTAATAGTTAATTTAGGAAAAACAACAGCAATGCCAGGAAGCTTAACATACAAAAGGCCACAACCACAAATGTCCAATTAATCTCTGTGGTGAAGTTTACGATGAGTCTGAAGAAGAGAACAAAGCTTCTGCTAGTCTTTAATCATGAGTTCCTACTGGGTCTTACTTCCATTTAAATAATTTCATGAGTTAAAAGCACTGCATGTTCCCAGAAAGGTAGACAAACTTTTATTCAAAAGAAAATACAAAAATAAAGCTTAAAAATAGAAATGATTTTAAGGTTATCTCTGTCATGCTCTCTGCCATGATTAAGATAGAGGATCTAAAGTTGGGTGGAGTTACAGTAAAAAGATTATCAAGTACCTTTCCAAATATTCTTATTTTTAAGAGTTTAACTATTAATACTCCACACTACAATCTGGCACACACTTAGGGGTATGGTTCACTGTACTAGTTCAAACACCACACTGATTAAGATTGATTCTCTCAGTGCTAACTCATCAAGCATTTGATCCCATGTAAGACAAAAAAAGTGAATTTTAGAATTTCAAAATACTGGGGAGGTTGGCTGTACCATCATACATTCCCTTCAACTTCAAAATGAGCGTTTCCATTGAGAAAAGGGGAAAGGATGCTTTTACATTTTTTTCCCCCACAACAAATTCATTCACCAAAAATGGAAACAGTTTCATGTTACTTAAGAAAGATCCGGTTTTCTGGTTCCAGTATCCTCCCAGTGCCATGGGGTTAAGGCCTAAAATAGCAGCTCTTTGTATTAAGGCAAGACTCCTTTTTTTCACCTGTTCTTCTATTAACAACTGAAGTTCAAAGGAGCAGTTTCAGACTGAGGCACCTTTTCCTAGCAAAGGTCTCTTTGAATGTAGGAAGATTGAATATGAATAAGCCTCTCAATGTTGAAAACGTATCCAAATAGTTAGTGTACTCAATGTCAACATTTTTTCTCTTCGGAATTCTAAAGTAATTAATTTTCCCAGAACATGTAAACTATGAAGTTGCCTCTAAAACAACAGCAACAACATAAAACACAAATTTCCTGCAAAAATACACTATAGCTCTATCAGTTCTTCCCTGAAACAGAAATTTAATGTTTGGACGCACGCACACAAACCTGTAAACTTCTGATCACATTCTTAATATAACCATTTACAGACTCAAGTTACGTGAGGTTTTGGCATCGGGGGCATCCCACAGCAGATTTATATTTCACAGTCTTGTTTTGGCAACGCCAGCCGCCCACTGCAGCTCTTCCTCTGGCTCGCCCACCTGCTACCAGGAGGAAAAGAAAGGCTTCCGGCAATGCACAGTCTGAGTGAAGGAGCAGCTCAGGTGGACGATCCGACCCTGGCCGCCACCCTGACTTCGTTCCACGATCACACGGGGCATCTGGACCAGCTGCACAGGACTCTTCCCATCCTTCAGGGCCTGAGCAAGGTTTAAGATCTGTGCAAACAGGAGACACTGTCACCAATATGCAATAGACACAATGAATGGTTCAGTTCACTGACAATCATTTTAACCATTCACTCCTATCACTTTACTGGCAGCTCTGGAGGTCGAGAGGTGCGGAGCTGTGCTGCCAGTGCAAAGGCATGTGGTTCGAATCTAGCTGTTCCGAGAGGGAAAGCCTGAACAATTGACAGCCTCTGGAAGCACACTGGAGGGTCAGCTAGGAGTCAGTTCTGGCTCCAATGCACATAACAACGTTATCTGATTGAGTTATACACAACAGAGGTTGAGGAAAAACAATAACAAAGATGATTGTGTGCATTTAAGGAGCTCTTGTGGTACCATGGTTAGCCAAAAGGTCAAGGGTTCAAACCCACCAGCTCTTCTTTGGTAGATGTGGAAGCATGCTTCAGACAAGATCCACAGTGCTGGAAACTCTCTGGGGCAGTTCTACTCTGTCCTGTAAGGCTGCTGTGAGTTGCAATGGGTTTAGCGGTATACATACACAGACAAAACCAGAATTTAGTAACTTCTGTGACTTTTGTTAGCTTTAAAATATTCTAGGAAGCACTGCATCCAGGAGCAGTGGAATGAGGAACTGAATAAAGTGCACTGTTCTATATATTCCATAGAACTTAAAACCCATCAAAATTGTATGTGTTAAATAAGCACTTGCTGTATGCTTCCATTCAACAAATACTGTGTGTGAGGCTCCAAGTTCAGGGGATCCAACTACCATCAAGTTCTGAGGATATAACCACCATCAAACAAAGCTCTGTCTTCATGCAGCTTGTATTTTACCAAGTTGAAGGAGTTGCAAACATAACTGAGTTAGAAATGTTTTAGATGGTGAGAGTTATGGAAAAAAATGAGCAGGAGGAGCATGTCGGAGACTTTAAGGAAGGCAGTCATTTTAAAGGAGGTTTTATTCAAGAGTTCACTTGTAAATCATTCCCTCACTCAATTGTCATTGAGATGGAATGGACTCATAGCTGAACCTCTGGTGGGTTTTCAGAAGCAGTAAATCACATGGAAAGAGACAGTCCATCTGTCTCCAGCAGCAGCTCATAGATTTGAACTGTGAGCCTCTGGGTTGGTAGCACAGACTTACTGGCACTAGCATTATCAGGAAAACAAGCCTTTTCTAACAATATCATTAGTAAGATTACCAGGGAGCTCCGGTGGCTTAGTCTATAGGGAGCTGCGCTATTAACCCAAAGGCCTGGCCCTCAGGTGGTTCGAATCCATCAGCACTCTGGGAGAAAGATGGGCAATCTCTTCTTGTGTGATTTTTAGCCGTCAAAAATATGCTGGACAGATAGCTACTGGTTGCTTCTGACTCAACAGCAATGAGATGCTTTTTTTTTAGTTTTAATATTGATGAAACAGACCCTTCTGAACAATAGCAATCACTGTGATTTATGACTTTGGAATCCCTTTTGTTCCAGAGGGAAAAGGCTGGCCACAGTTTCCTCAGTGTCCAAGGTCGTAAGAAGATGGCTTACCTGGCCTCTCATCACCGACATCTGGCTTTCAAAGGTGGCCTTGTCAAACCTTTTGTCAATCTATCCCAGAAGGGAAAAGAAAAAGAACTATCATTCCAAATATAAGGCCGAAACAAATATCTGTAACCAAACAGACTTTTCAATTCAGCACACAGCTACAGAGCACTTTGCTAACCGGTGAAACAACCTGAAAAATGTATCTTTACCTAATGTAGTTTTAGTATGCTTCATATTTACCTCAGTGGCTTTATTTATACTCCAATCTGTACTGAGAAGGATCTAAGGTTATATTCTAACCAGTGGGTTTAGGTTTTTTAAGAGAATGATTAGCTGAAGGTCACCAAATGTTTTCTAATTTGTGGGGTCACTGAGGCAGGGGGGTATCTAACTTTTAAAGAAGACAACTTCCCAATTTTGATGTATTCTCACTTCAAAGAACATTGATGGCAAGTTTAATTTTACAAATTCATGCTCCTGTAAAGTAAACTTCAAATTCCTTCGTGCTTACTGGGTTCTAATACTAGCAGCATCACCAAAACCAGTAAGTTATAAATCTGTTGTTCTGAAAACACAGAATACAGGTAATTTCCTCTAAAAAAAGTTCTAAAACAATTTCTAAGATTTCATTTTTTCTGTAATAAGGAAATACATTTACCTTAAAAAGTTCATAAAGATCTTCACACAAATCTTGCACAAAATTCATGTCAGAAATACAAGGCAGAACCAAGTTTCTTATTTCTTCAGAAAAAGGAACCTTTGCTTGAGGAAGCCAAGCCCAGTGAAATGGATCTAATGGAAACAAAAACTTTTCTAATCAGTGGGGTTGACAGGATTATTTGGATTCATATTCATCCTAGTTCTTTTCAACTTCTCCCAGGATCCCAAAACAAAACAAACCCAGAGAAAGTAAGTTCCTAGAAAACAGTGATCTGTTTACCATCCAACTCACATACAATAAACTTCACATATACTAAAGTCTTGCCTGAACCAGTTTTTGAGACTAAAAAGTGAAAGTGTGGGTCATGAGTCTATCTCAATAGCCATATTTCAAAAATGTATCTGAATCCATCAGGTTCTGAGTGTGGAAACGGAGAAATACCTAAGATGTTCTGTTAATCAAAACATCGGCAGTTCTAATTCACCAGCTGCTCTGGGAAGAAAAATGGACCATCTCCTCTTGTAAAGTTGTAGTGCCTAAGAAACTCAAGGGGGAGTCATTATGGGTCAGGTTCACTAGAAGCCAGTAGGTCACAGTTCATTTACAGCCTCAGATCAAATACCACAGCTGAGCTCTCCCTGCCTTTGAAGCTCCTAATCAACAGGAACCAACCACTCACTCGTGCAAGATGCTCTGAAATACCGTATCACTAACAGATCATCTGTTGCATGGCTTGAACCAGTAAGAGAGACATGACTCTGGACTATCTTTCTCCCAAGACCAGGAAATCTACTGAGTGTGTGTAAAGTAGTGGAATCTTCTAGAGAAGGTATATATACCCAGGAGGAAGTGCAGGTCTTATGGCAACATGATCACCCAGAGATAGTGAGCACGCCACCAGGAGCCCCCAGCTTCGGCAGATGACGTCACCACGAAGCACTGAGGAAGAACTAGCGCCTCGCCTTCCCAGGCTGTTAATCTACGTGCACACGCTGGACAAGCATGGTCCACACCAAACGAAATCCTTCCTGTCTCCTACATCTCCTTTTTTTTCCAGAAAATTTTATCTCATTTACATGTTGCTTCACTGCAAAGAGGAAATAACAATCTTAGGCACGAGTCTTTCACATCTCCTTGAAACTAGGATCCAGTTTCCCTATTACCTTTCCATAGCCAGTCCTATAAAGGAAAAGTTCTTGTTTCTATTTCTCTATTTCAATACCCATCTCTCAACTCATGACTACTTAGCATCTACTAAGACTGTCAGTCACTTGTCAACCCTCTCTTCCAGGGTCACTGAGGTCCTAATTCAGCTTCCTCTTTGTAGCCAGTGGGAGTGTTCACCGTCATGTCTGTGAAACTCTCCTCTTGTGGCTTAGGAGATAACACTTTCTCAGAAGGCCACTTCTTCTTCTCTACGAGATGGAAAAGTTCTCCTTTCCATTTCTGGCTTCTCTTGCATGATATGTAAGACTCCCATGTCACTTTCCACCAGGTCCTACATTTAGTCCTTTGTGCTGGGGTTTGTTCTCCGTGATTTCCCAGGGTGATGGTCAACAGGGATTCAACTATCAAGGTGATAGTTTTGAAACTGTAACATCCAACCAACTTCTCTTCCTAACTCCACACCCTTAACAGCCAACTATGCATTTGATAAAATGTCCTAAACATATTCAACTTCAAACATATTTAAAATACAAGTCGCACACACACCACTAGAGGAACAAATAATGGAAGAAGACATCTCAAACTAGTCCAACAAAAGACAGGAAAGGAGAGACATTAAGAAGTTGGAATGCAAATGGCAAATGAATGACTTAAAAGTTCAAACACCCAATAGTTTATGAAGACAAATAATAACAATGTATTTCTAGTAAAAGAAATCTTACATTATAGAAAAAGAAACTAGATAAATGCAATTTATAATGATGACAGATGGGTGTTAAAAATCTAACTATACAACGAGGCACCCATTAGCACATTAGCAAAAGGAGTCAAACAAGTTTACAAGACAAGAAAAAAGGAATCACTGAGTGATAAAGTGGATGTATTTTGTATTTACAAGATAAAATGATGAGGTTTATGAACATGAAACAACAGAAAAGGTACATACTAAAAACATAACAAGAAAGTGATAAAACCACAATCACAACCGAAAACCTTAAACTTCCTCTGAAAAATACACAGGTAAGTCAAGGATATGATTTGATTACTTTTAGTTAGTAAACAGACGGAAAACTTTGCATCTAAACATATTCTTTTCATAGTCCCCAAACTGGACATAAAAATTCTAAAAAACAAAATTAACACAGGACACATTCAAAGATAATAATGTATTAAAAGTGGAAGATAACAATATAAGAACAAGAATAACAACAAAAAAATTAAATGATCCAAAACTTTTTAAAAGCAAACAAACATATTTTCCCAAAGTACTTACAGCAAACAGGAAGCAGGCAAGTCTGAAGAAGAAAAACCCAATGAGAAAACCACAGAACAGCAGCTATGCACATATGGCTCAGTCAAAATGACACCAGAGGAAAACTACGGCAATGGGTGCACTGCTAGGATAGCAATCCAGAAGGAAAACCCAACCATTAAAACAGAAACCAGTGGGACACAATAAAGCAAACAACCAAAATGGAACACTTAATTGATAAAATCAAAAGCAAACTCTTTGAAAAAGCAAGAAAATACTTAAGCAACAATAAAAAGGCCAATGCTTAGTAAAAGAAAACTCTTTGGGAAGTGTAACAGTGGAAGAGGCCTACTGATAAATGCAAAAATTGTTTCTGGTGCTGTTACGTGCTGTCGAGTTGAAACTGACCATAGCTGACACTCCAGCGGGTTTCCAGAGGCAGCAAACTGCATGGAAGAGCAGCCCACCCTTCACAAGAGGAGCAGCTGGTGGGTTTGAACTGTGTGCTTTTGGTATTGCAGCATAGCTTCTTACCACTAGGCTACCAGAGCTTTAGAAAGGGGCATTTTATTTTTTAAAACTTATTACAATATTTTAAACATATATAAAAACTGAAAAACTAGTATCATGAAATTTTACCTAATAAACCTAATAAAGTGAGATAAAATTTTGCACAATTTTATTTTTGTATTTTTTTTGCAAATTCTATACATCATTTTATTTCACTCCTAATTACTTCAATGTATATAGAAGGATTTTAAAAAATTTTAATAGAAGTCTATATAAACCTTTGCAGCCACATTTCTAATACTTAGAATGGTATGGGATTGAGGGAAATAATTTCTAAAACTGGCTCTTCTTGACAAGTAGAAACTGGGACCACAATCACCACAGAAGAGACTGGAAAGGCACAGGAGACAAAAAGGTGAGGGACTGGGGGGCTGGGGAGGAAAGATGAGGAAGGCCTATTTTACAAGTGAATTCTACCAAAAACAAAACTATGGTTTTATAAAAACATTAAGTACTTTGCAAGTTACATGTATTTTAAGCACAGGAAAGTATCTAAAATCACTGTACAAAGCTGAGTCCCCCAAATCAAAAGCAGATATGGCTCTTCTCAAATAAGTAGACAAGTATGCTGAAGCCCACATTATACACGTTAGGTCTGTCTGGAAGAGGGTGAAAACAAGTTTTTCCTTAGAAGAAATGATTTTGAAACTCTGTCTCACATACTTGGGGCACATGGCCAAGAGGGACCAGTCCTTGGAGAAGGACATCATGTTCAGAAGGGAGGAGGGACAGTGAGACTGGTTCAGGACATGGCAGGCTTCAGAGCTGTTTTGTGTAATGGGTTCACTATGAGTTGCAGATGACTTGATGGCTCGTAACAACAAAGCCTAAAACAGTACCTTAATGAGTAATTAGCCTGTATTTACCTAGTTTTTCCGGGGCTGTTTTTATAGTTATAAATTTTATTCCCTCTCTATTCTGAAGAAGTAATTAAAAATCTCTGGAAGGTTCTACAATACTCACATGCTCTCCATTCATCAGGGTGTTTAAAAGGAAATGCCAGGCCATTATCAATTGCAGCTATTTTAATAAGAGATTCTTGGTCAGCAGTCCATTTTATGTCCTAAAGGAGAAAAAAAGGTGGTTTAATACAAATTTTCTTCCAACGGACAAAGTATTTATGCTTTAATATTTAATATTTTTAAAGTATTTAGCTAAAGGACTGCCAGAAGAACAAGTCAGCCTGTCTTGAACGTACAATCTCAGAGATGCTCTTTAAGAGGCACGGAGAGTCTGCACGTTGTTAGGTGCTGGCAAGCTGAGTAAGACTCATGGTGACCCTGTGAACAACCAATCTGAACCCTGTCCTATCCTGTGCCATCCTCGTCATCTCTGACACACTCAGTTCCACTGCTGCAGTCACTGTGTCCATGAGTCCATACAGCTTCAGAGGATGTTGAGGGTCTTCCTCTCCTTCATCAATCCTCTACCTTCCCAAGTATGATTTCCCTCTCCAAGGAAGAGCCTCTCCTAGCAACATGCCCAAAGATGTGAGACAAAACTGTATCATCTTTGCCTCCAAGGAGCACTCTGGCTGCACCTTCTCTAAGACATATTTGTTCTTCTGGCAGTCCATGGGATACTCAGGACAATTCTCCAGCACCACAGTTTAAAGACAACAATTCTTCTGTCATCCACATTCATTACCATGTTGCTAGAAGGGGCCAATCCTTAGAAAAACACATCGCTGGGAAAGGTGAAGGAGTCAGAGAAAGAGAGGAAGACCTTTAACAAGATGGACTCACACAGTAACAGTACAACAGGCTCAAGTACATAAGACCTAGCGAGGATGGTGCAGGACAGGGCAAGTTCAGAACTGCTGCTCAGAGGGCTGCTATGCGCTGCAGTCAACCTGAAGGCACCTAACAGCAACAACGGACATGTTTACTCTAAGCCTATAAAGAGACAACGTAAGTGGCCATAAAAAGTACGCATTCACCCAGGAAGGTAAGAGTCTGTCTTCAAAACCTGTAGGGCTTTTATAATCACTATTCTCAAGTGTTTTTAAGTGTTATTATAAATTTTTTTCCCATTTGGGAAAGAGAACCTGAGAACATTAAGACTTAAAAGAGTGATACACTGTTTAAATTGTAGTATAAAACACAATTATCTTAAGAATCTAGCCCTTCTTAGGGTGCCATATAAATAATTAAGCTAAATAGAACATTTACAAATAAAATTCTCCAAAGACAGCTAAGTGCAGTCAGAGTCTAGTAGAAGGAACTAAGAAACCATTCTTTTTACATTCTTTATAGCAGAAACAAAGCCCTCAGGCACAGAGGGTTTTCATGTGAAGGGGATCTCCTATTACAGTATTTAAAGGCAGATGTCTGTCATTATGAGGAGGCCTACAAAAAAACAAAGATTAATAGAGCAGCTTTTAAATCAAACATACTACAAGGAAGGCCCATGTGATATGTGCCAGATTTCCTTATTTCTTTTAGTTTATATCATTTACTTCAACTAAATACACAGAATATAGAATACTTTTACTTCAACTAAATACACAGCAAAAAAGAAAAAGAAAAACAAAGTTCTAAGTGAAATAAAACTTCTCAAGATAAAACAATACAGTAAATTTGTGTATATTTGTGTGAGCGTGTTTATATTTGTGTGTGTTTTTTAACTTATCCTGCAGAACAGCCATCTATTCTCATTTCCTATTTATAACTTCACACAACGCACTCCATATGTATTAAAGTGTACAATGAGATGAGCCTTGGTAGAGGTTTCCTGTGGCCCTTGCAGCTTGCCCCTCTTCAGCATGTCCCAAGCACCCCATGATCTGTTTTCTGCATCTAGAGAAAAGCTTGTACCTCCTGGATTTTGACATGTAAGTGCAATTACGGAGTGTGTTCCCTTTAAGTGCAGCTGCTTTAGCTTCTGGGATTCACCTGTTACTGATTCTATCTATTTGTTCTTTATCGCTGAGCACTATTTTCAAACGTTTGTTTTTAAATTTTCTTGAAAAACACTTAAATAGTATGAACTTTTTAAAGTGAAGCAATAGCTTTTAAGTGTTAACCTATCAACACACAAATTACAAACACTGGAGAAATCATTTTCTAGAAACCAGTTCAATTTTCTCAATTGTATATCCTATTTTATATTTGTAAAGCTTTTTTTAAAATACTTTCCCCCCCTTCCCTCCCTGCCCACCCCTCCACAATTAGCTTTTCTTTTTGAAAAGGAAAAGAAAAAAATCCTTCATTGTTATTCATTCCCTCACCTATGCTACCTCCGTTCTGGACTCTTGTCATAACAACAGTATCCAGTAATTTTTTAAAAAAAATATTTTAACTGATTTTAATGGAAGTTTACAGAAAAGTTAGACTTTTATTCATTCATCATTAAATTTTTCTCCCTCCCTCAGCTCAAAATATTCATTGTTGTACAAGTTCTGCCCTCCTCTAGTCCTCTTTGCAATGTACCTCTTATTCTGAACTGTTGTCGTATATGTAACGCCTAATCATATATTCCTTTTAAGAAGTTCTCTTCCTCATCAGTCCCAATACAGTGTTCATTATCTATATATTCTTTTCCCAACCCCCGCATGTCAGTCCTGCTTCATAACAGTGGTGTTATGCAGTATGTGTTGTTTTAAAACTGAGATATTTCATTTATCATAATGTCCTCTAGGGTCACCCATGTTGTGTAATGTTTCACGAGGTCATTATTGTTCAGTGCTGCATAGTATTCCATCATATGGATATACCATAGTTGTTCTATCCATTTGTTTTTTGATGGGTACTTGGGTTGTTTCCACCTCTTTGCTATTGTAAATAATGCAGCAATCAATCAACATGGGTGTGCACACATCTATTTGGATGGCAGTTCTGGTTTCTTTAGGGTATATCCCTAGCAGTGCAACTGCTGTGTCAAATGGTATTTGTCTATTTACAACGTTTTAATAAAGTGTCAAGCCAGCTTCCATAGTGGTTGAACAATTTTACACTGCCACCAGTAATGACTAAGGGTTCCAGTATCTCCACAACCTCACCAGCATTTATTCTTTGCTGCTCTGTTGAACTTTGATATTGTTGCTGGGAAAAATACCTTCTTTGGAAATAACTATAATTTGAAACCTGAGTACTAGGAATGGACAGCAGTGAATCTAGTCTTTAATTCTGACAGTATGAAAGGCATACTCAAACAATGTAAGTAAAAGAAAGCTTCCTAAAAGGAGACACATTTTCTTTTTTTAAAGTCCAATGACTGTAACTACAGAAAAGGCACACATTTCCCATTTTGTACAGGGTTAGGGATCACTGAATTTCTAACACTCAAAGAAAAATACGTTAGCCAAAAGTACCCAAAACCTTCATTCAATATTACAAACAAGCAAAATAAGTAGAACAAATTTCTGAAGCCCTCAAAAAAGTACTGAATAGGTAGCATTCTATTTGAATCCTAAGGAAAAAAACCTTTACAAAGATAATACAAAATTCCAATAAAAGTGGGGAAAGGAAATAGGGAGAGGAATGAAAAACAGATGAAAAAAGCCAAGGACCTAAGGAAAGGAAGGAAAAAACAGTGAACAGCGACAACTCAAATGTTCTCTTTAAAACAGATGCTAGAGGGAGTGAGTACACATGTGCAGATATGTTTCCTTGTGTATGTGTACATATAAGTGTATATGTATATTTTTTTAATTTCCTTACCTTACTGTCCACTTCCTTCCCACGACTTGATTTCTCATATTTTATTAACCAATTATCATTTCCTCTGTCTTTTGGAACAAACAAAAAAAATCCATTACTTCATTTTTATAGGCATGAGTAATATCAAAGAGAAAATCTAGTTACCTCTTAATCACTAATATTTTCAGATTGATATTGGTTTATTTGTGGCACCTTTATTGCATTAAAGATTCCAATTTAATATGTGAGTCAAAGAGTATTGCTACAAGATCTGAGACCTCTTTTTTTTTAAATATCAAAATGAGAAGACACTGTTCCTGGCCATATCTTCCATCTAGGTCTACACACTTCTGAAGGGGGTGTTTCTCTCTAATCCTTCCTCAAGAGAATTCTGCACTCTCATTTAAGTAACATCAAAATGTCAGTGTTGGTCCTCAAGAGACTCAAACTGCTAATTGTTGCTTGAGTGCTGGGAACAAAAATAAGTCAGAGAGGGTAAACCCAGGGCTGGAGGTTGGAAGGGTTTCTCAGTGAAATTCTTGTGGGACACTCCTTTTTACCCTTAAGAATGAGTAGGTCCATTGTTGGAATGGACAAAAATTTCTTAACACACTTTTCCTGGCCTTTTTCCTCCCTTATGCAATTTTCATTTTCCTTAAAGCTTCTTTGTAATGAGCCAAGGTGACCGTTTTGATGTGACTGTCTTGTGTCCTTTGAGAAAATCTGTTAATATGGTATGTAACCATACCCATCTGAGAAAATCCTCTCTGTCTTGTATTTAACTGGCCAAAAAAATCTCCCCAGAAGCCACAGTTTAGCGTGTACTGTGCTTCCTGGGTCATATCAGTATATCTAAGAATTGGCCCCCACTATAATTTCTTCCATAAGATCATCACTGACTTTTTTTTTAACAAAAAAATCTAAGATTATTAGCGTCGCTCTTGCTTGAAAGACTTGGAGATCAGCTCACGGAGCTGGCTGATTTTCATGCAATGATTCTGGCACGTATCCTTTTTGAGAAGGCTAAGCCCATTACTGTCAGAACTTGCCTCTGGCCATCCACTAATTACAGACACAGGTTTAAACGTGTTTTGGTTGGAATAAACACATATATGTATGAACTGGAATCCCAGTAGCAGCACTTTTTCACTCTCTTTGTAAAAAAAATGTGAAGTACCTGTATGTATTAACTCATTTAATCTTCATAATCACTCATGTTGAGAGGTCAAGGTTATTCTCTTTTACCTTAAAGGGGGCGGGCAGTATTTAGTGCTACTTGCCAAGCAAATTTCTAGACAGACCCACCTAATATCAAGACAGGAGCACTTTTAGGTGGTACATAAATTTTAGTATTAACCTGAGGCCACATTAATGATGAAGTTGTGACTAAAAAAGAATTATGTAATTATTAAAAGTTATACAATGCTAAAAATTTTATAATGCTTTCTCAAAAACAGATATGATTAAGAACACATTTTTTTGAACAGGACATTCTCAAACTTTTAAAGTGCACCAGAATTAGGTGGGAGCTACTTAAAAACACAGACTGCTGGGGCCCCATATAAAATTTTGGCTTCAGGAGGTCTGGACTGGGATCCAAGAAGTTAGGTTCCATGTACTGCTGCTTTTCCTGGTTCAGAAAGCTACACTGTTCTGTATCACTGCTTCCTTCTTGCAGTGAACACATGAGCAGAAACAAATGAGATTTTATTGTATTACAAATACACATCTCACATACTTTATACACTCAGGTTTTCCTAATGTGTTGTTGCTGAATGCAACCAAGACAACTCTTAGTCATCGTAACCTTACAGAACAGAGTAGAACTGCCACGAGGTTTCCAAGGCTGTAATCTTCACAGCAGCACACCGCCACTTTCTCAAGTGGAGCAGGTGGGGCTGATGGCTAACCTTGTGGGTCAGTGGCTGAGTGCTTAACTGCTAATGCCACCAGGGCTATTTCTAATAACTGGCTTTGCCTGGCTGCCAGGAAACGCCCACAGGAGATGCAAACCCATCTTCATCCTTGGGGCAGGCATCGACTTCAATTCCAGCACAGAATTAATTTTGTCCAGTGGGTCAGGACTACATCTTTATCTCTAAAGGCAGACAAATGAAACGGTCTCGAGACTTCTGCAGCAAAATGGTATTTATCTCTTATCTGGGTAACAAAAGTTGAATACAGCTTGAATGTCAACAAGATGTGAAGAACAAACGAAAGAACGTCAGTACCTGTATTTCTGATGATGTAATCCAAAACAACTAGTCTTTCAAACTGTGACTGAAATTCTTTTCTAATATTCTCAGGCAAAGGGTCAGCTTCAAATTTTCTAAGCCAATATTCAGCTTCCTTATAACCTTCAACAAACAACTGAAAGGAACCAATCTAAAATTTTAAGAACTACTGTTAGAAAATAAAGTGCAAAATCAGAGGGATTAACTTCGTAATTTCTTGATAGCACAATTATACAAATGCTTATTATATAAATACAGTAAGAAGAGAAAGAGAAGCATTAATGCTAATGGAGATAAACTACATTTACCAAGGGAACTATTTTTATGTATAACTTTTAAATCAAATCACACAAAGAACAGACAGCTAATGTAATGTGCTTAACCCCAGATTTTCATAGAGTAGAGAGGCTATTTTCAGATAATAAATAACATAAATATGTGCCCTACAGGTGACACTCTAAAACAAGAAGGCTGCTTTCTACAAGTTTTCCTTGAAATGAATTACGTTTTACAGGCTAAATGTAATCTATTTCTAGTTATATAATAACAGTCCAGGTATAATTTACTTTAAAAACTAAGTTTTTGTTTTGTTTCATTTTGTAACGTAAGACCAAAAAAAAAAAAATTAAGAAAAAGAGTATATACTTTGGCCACAAAGATTAAAGATAGTGTGACAAATTTTAAAGAACCAGTCAGTCACCAAACAGTAGAGTGGTCTGTTAAGAGCCCTGGTGGCACAATGGCTAAGTGCTCAGCTTCTAAATAAAAGGTCTGGGTTCAAAACCCACCAGCTGCTTCAGGGGAGAAGGGTCCTGGTGGTCTGCTTCCACAGAGATGACAGCCTAGGAGCCCCGAGGTGGCAGGCTGTTCTGCTCTGCCCCACTGGGCTCTGTAATCTCGAACTGGCTTGATAGCATATAACAATAGGGGAGCCCTTTAAAACGAGGAAATGTCTACTTGAAAAGGAATTTCTACTACTAAAATGACTATCTGTTAACACTAAGAAGATCTTAATTGTTTGCTAATGTAAGAAATGCAAAGTTCAGCATGACACGCAAGTTAACTATGTCATAAATACAACAGATCAGCACAAAGAAAACGTCTATCTTAACTCTTCTGGTTGTTATGACTTTGTAAAGATTTCCTAAAGGTTTTCTCTACAGCACTTATAGTTAAGAACTAGCAGTCATAAATATGAAAATTATATCCTTCCTTGGTCAAACTTAAATATTTTGTTATAACCAAAGAACAGACTTCGTAATACATCTTAAACTTCCTGCCTACTTTGAATGCAATCTACAGGGGGGGAAAAGGTTAATCATAAACTTCTACTCAAATGTGTATCTAGATACGGTGCATAATAAGACTGACACACATGAAGTCAGGTCTAATTACTTACACACTTACACCCCCATATAAAGCGTAGGGCTGTTCCTTGGACTTCCATCTTCTGCCTTTTCCATTTATCTTCCCCCACTTTGCTTACGTAGTTGTTAATCATTCCTCAGATTTACTTAAAAGAAGTGATAAGAAAATCTAGCATGTGGCACGTAAACATTTGCTGAATGAAAGGCCTAGCGCTTTATTAAACACTTGACATGAGTCTGAGGCTGGAATCCAGGTCTGGTTCCAGGCCTGTGCTTTTAAATATCTATGAAATAACCTCCTAGTGGAAGTATTTCGCCAAGGTGAGTTTGCCAGGATACTCTCAGGGGCCTGCAATTTATCATCTGAACAGCTTTACTTCACTAAAACAGTTTACTATGAGCCTGAAGAAAAAAAACCCCAAAACTATCCACTCTTTCCTTCTATATCCACAGCACACAGCACTCAGGAAACAACTGTGGGGTCAACAAGCTTACCCTTAACTAAGGCCCATCGTGGGAACTTACCTTAGGAGGGAGTCCTATCCGATGGAACTTTCTACCTACTTTCGGCACTTTCTCTAATGCATACTTTTTTCCTCTCGACTTTGCACGGTCAATGGCACTATAGTTAAATGTTTCACTGACCAAACACACCACCTAGAAACAGACATTTGGGGAAAATGGTCAGATTTGCTTTATTAGTAGTACTTCTGGCCACATGCACTCTATGACTCAGTCTATGGCTGCAAATCAGCCAGTTCTGCTACGTAGTAAGTGCCCCAGGGAATGAAAAAGAGAAAGGCCAAGAGATTTTGCAATGGCCTTTAGTTTATGTGCATTGGCACATAATCCCCCCTCCATCGAGAAGTACAAAAGCAACCTAAAAAAGCAACCTAAAATTTGCAAGAGGAAAATACAAGACATGAAAACTCTAATTAGGAATGACAATCTTTTAAGTCGTCAATTTATAATTCATAAAGATCAAAAGAAAAACATGTCTCTTGGAGGCATTCGTAATTGCTAACTTTTATAGATTCTCTAGACCTCTGCTCTTTTCTTCCTTCCTAAATGCTAGGGTTTTCTTTAGCATCATCTGAATTCACAAGAAACAATCCCCGTGGCCAATTTTGTGTGAATTTATTAGTAGCTCATGACCTTTTGTTTTTCAGTGCCATATAGGCAGCATCATGGTAAGTGGTGAAAGGACTGAGGTTGTTAATGATTCTACCTTGCTTGGATCCACAATCAATACTCTTGGCACCAGGTCAGGAAATCCAAAAGACCAGTCTGCTGTCAGGGACCTCTCCAGAGCGCTAAAGAGGAACAATGTCAGCTTAGAAACTAAAGTGCGCTTGATCCAGGCCATATGCTTCTCAATTGCTTGCTGTGCATCTGAGAGCTAGACAGTAACCAACGGTGTCCAAAGAATCATCCATGCCTTTGAGTTGTGGTGCTGGAGAAGAGTACTGAACATACCATGGACCGTCAAGAGAACAAACAGCTCTGTCCTGGAGAATTTGAAACCAGGTTGCTCCTTGGAGGCTGGTATTGTGAAGCTTCATCTCACATACTTTACGCCATGTTGCCGGCGGGGCCAGTCAGTCTTTGGAGAAGGACATCATGCGTGGAAGGGTGGACGGTGAGGTGGATTGACATATTACCCTGGGTAACGGGCTCAGGTGTCTCAGCCAGTAAGAGTGGCTCAGGAGAGGGCAGGGTTCAGCGCCACTGTTCATAGGCTTGCTATGAGTTGCAGTTGACTAAACAGCACAGAACAACAGCAGCACTCCTGGTTAGGTGGCATCAAGGCAGCTCCCAGTCCCTGCAAGTGTCCGCACAACAGAATGAACCCTGCCTGATCCTGTGCCATCCTCACAATCTCTTGTGTTTATGTCCGTTACTGCCACCACTGTGCCTGTGTCCATCCGGTGGAGGAGCCTCCTCTTTTCTGCAGATCCTCTATTTTTCCAAGCCTGATGCCCGACTTCAGGGACTGGCCCCTCCTGGTAACATACCTAAAGTGTCTAAGTGAAACAAAGACTCAACATCCTGGCTTCCCTGGAGTCCTGAGGTTGTACTTATTCCCAGAAAGATTTGTGTGGTCTTTTGTCAGAACAATGTATTGTCACTGTTGTGTACCAATGAGCTGGAACTGACGCACAGCTGACCCTCCTGCGGGTGTCAGAGGCCGTTAATCACACAGGAGGAGACTGACCATCCTTCTCCTTCAGAGCAGGCAGTGGTCTTGTGCCTTCGGGACTGCAGTGCAGCTTCTTGCCACTAGGCTATCAGAGCTTTCTAGATCAATATATTCAGTATTTTTTCACCAAAACAAGAATCCAAAGGCATCAATTCATTTCCCTAACTGCCCAACTTTCACATGCATATGAAGCAACTGAAAATACTATGGTTTGAGTCAGATGCAGTCTTTTTCTTTTTCTTCAATTGTGATTTAAAATTTTAGAAAGCAAATTTGTTTTCCATTCAACCATTTTGCTTGCACATTATCTGCTAGTTAACACTTTAAGAAGGTCAATTGCAATAGTGCTGCCCAGTGCAGTCTGTTTCTTCATCTCCCGATTACTGCTTCCACGGGTGTTGATTGTGGACTCAGGTGAAATAAAATCCTTGAAAATGTCAATCTTTTCTCCATCTATCATGAGATTGTTTCTTGATCCAGTTGTGAGAATTTTTTTATCGTATGATTCATAACTCAGAGCTTCATCAATAAATGTTCAAGTTCTCCTTTTCAATTAGCAAGGTGTGTCATCTGCATATTGCAGGTTGTTGATAGGTTCTCCTCCAACCCTAATGCCACATACTTCTTTATAGAGTTCAGCTTCTTGCTCAGCATACAGCTGAATAGGTATGGAGAAAGGAAACAGTGTCAACACTTTCTCCTGGTTTTAAACCATGCGGTGTTCCCTTGATCTGTATGAAGATTACTCCTGGAGGTATGTGCAGGCCCCACAGGACCACACTTGAGGTTTGATGAAGTCCCATCTTTCTCAATATCAACCATAATTTATTATGACCTACACAGTCAAATGACTTTACAACACAAGTAAACATCTTTCTGGTATTGTGTGGTACTGTCTGCTTTCAGTTAATATCCCTCGTGTTGTAACCTCTTCTGAATCCAGCTTGAATTTCTGGTAGTTTCCTGTCAATGTACTGCTCTGTTTTTAAATTATCTTCAGCAAATTTTACTTTCAGGTAATAATAACAATACTGTACAATTTCATCTCACCTTTTTTATGAATTGGCACAACTATGGATCTCTTCCAGTAAGCACGCCAGACAAGTCAGCATGTCCACACTGCACCTGTCTGCTGAAACATTTTAACTGGTATACCACAACTTGTGAAGAGGTAAGTGTTTTTGCCATTGCTTTCAGTGCATCTTGGACATTTCCCTCCATTGCCACTGGTTCTTGATAATAATGCTAGCCCCTGAAATGCTAGCAGCAACCAGTTCTTTTAGGTACAGTGACTTTGTATTCCATTTCCTTTTGATCTTCCTGCATCTTTCAGTATTGTGTCCACAGAATCTTTCAGACCTGAAACTTGAGCCTTGAATTTGTTCTTCAGGTCTTTTCAGCTTAAGAAATGTTGGGCATGTTTCTCCTTTTTGATATTCTATCTCCAGGCCTTTGCACAATTCATCATAATACTTCACTCTGTCATCTCAAGTTGCCCTTTGAAATCATGTGCTCAGCTCTCTTACTGCATTATTTCTTGTTTTCACTGTGGAGAGTGGCCTCTACTTCCTAAACAACATGCCTCTGGAAACTATGAACTTTGAGAAATGATGATAGTTACAGAAAGGCTTCAGGTCTTTTGTTCCTAGGGTCACTGAGTCGTGCTCAATAGTGAACAACAACAACAACAGGTCAATAGCAAGTTTTAAAGACTCATGTGACATCTATTCTGGTCCTTTATTTTCTTTTTCATAACTTGGTTTACAAAATAAAATCAGAACCACAAACTCAACAAAACAAACCAACTTAACTTTAGGCTCTGTCCCTTGGCATTATTATTCAAGTATTCACTGTTAACACGTTGCTGCAAAATGTGTTTCTAAGCACGGTCGGTCGTTAATTTAAAAGTGTGCGGCAACGTGTTAAGTAGGTAGTAAATGAAAAATACAGGAATAAGGAAGATCTCCTTTTACCCTTGTTTTAGGTACGATGCCCAGTCGAAGCTTTTCATCCACAAGGTAGGCACCAGCTTCAGAAAGGTATCCCTGATTAGGAAGCAGGCAGCCTCGGCCAAAGCAACAGGGGCACAAGACCTTATGAACATATTTGGTCCATTTTGGATTTAGCTGCCCATAGGGCTCTTCTGATTTAGGTTTAAACACCCCAATAGTTTTCTGTAGGATAAAGAGCAGAAATCTTGTTATATCTTTGACACAGATGCAATGATCCATAAAATATCTGCATTCTGATGAGTCTTTTCCTACTGCTCCCCGCCACTTATGTGGGCTGGCCTATCTCCAAACTATTAACATGTTCAATTCCCAGCACACCTTTACATTTATTCTCACATAAAACTCTTAATCTACCAGGACAGCGGCTTTCAAACTGTGCTCTGAGATGTCCTAGTGAGGGCAGGTTCCAAGACGCTGCATTATTTTAACCTAATTTCCCACGTTTTACATCATCAGGCTCCAAGAAAGAAGGGTTGAACTGGATTAAAAATGCTTGAAAATGACTACTTCTCTAATCGTGTTACTACTCTTTATCTATTTAACATCCAAAGTCATGTGCTCCTTTTATTGTCTACTTTTCTCACTAGAGTTTTACATCCTAAAAAAACTGAGCTGCTTGTTAGGGCTGTAAGCCCAAGTACTCAGTATGGTTTCTGGAGCATAGTAGGTATGTGAGGACTTAATAAATGAACTAGTAGATCCAATGACTGAAGGGGAAAAAAGGAGTCTATAAGACACAAAGTTAATGACTGAATTTTAGACTAGAAATAATTGCTCTCTAATGAAGTCAATTAAAAAGTTAGCAAGAACAATCAAGAAATCAAACTTGGAAAAACAACTGACATGTCCTATGTATATGTTTAAGTGGAAAAAAAAAACACAAACCAAAATCAAACCCCTTCACCTCATAAAACCAAAAAAACTCCAATCTTTTAAAAAAGAAAAAAAATTAAGTGAGATTGTAATCTCTGACTTCTGAGAAGAGGTCTGCTGGTGACAAAGCATTCAGAAAGCTTTTGAAGATAACACAGATTATAGAGAAATTCTAGACGGAGTGGAACAAAGTCCCCTATCAGTCTCTCCTTTCTGCTTTAGAATTCGACTTTGGTTCATTTCACTGGGTCATATTCCAATGCCTGCAAACTTCTGACTGCTGCCAGTCGCTGTCCACTGGGACTGTGCCAGAAAAATCATTCCCTAGGGCAAGATTCACCTCTGAAAAAGATCCAGGACTTTGGAAATAAGACTAAGTTTTCGTAAATTTAAACTTCCACTCTGGTTGGATACTATAGTTATACAAGCTTGTGTCAGGCGTAGTCTTGCAAATATAAGCCTAACAAACCTACAGTTGAACTTGAGGATACAATAAATCCTTTAAGTCAAATGTGAAAGAACAGAACCAAACAATGAACTAGGATTTAAAAGAAGTTCAATTTCTAAATAGTAGAGTGCTTTAGTAAAAAACAAAACAAAAAACATGATCTTTATTCCTGAAAAGATAGTGTAATCATATTTATTAGGAAAGTATCTTCAGTAATTCATAATGACTTCACATTTAAATTAGGGTTTTCCACAATTTCTCTTACATATATTAAGTCTGAAATTCTCACCCTCTTAGGATCCTTTACAAAGTAACTTCCACTTGATCCTTGAAAGATTCTTTCCGGTAAAACTCCACATTCTATTGCTTGTTCTGCTCTCAATATAATATCAGCAAATTCTGGATCATCCACAAAAGTATTCATCTCTGAAGGTGCACTGCCTACTGCATTAGTTAATACAAAACATAAAAACAAAGAGCTATGAAAGACCAACTAATAGAACTTACAACTTGGTGCTAAAAGATTAAAAAATATCCCACCCCCAAACCCTTCACAACTAGACCAATAAACATCATAAGCCGAGAAAAGACTGAAGTTGTCAAAGATTTCATTTCCCTTGGATCCACAATCAACACTCATGGAAGCAGCAATCAGTAACTCAAACAATGTATTATTATTACCCCGGGCAGATCTCGCAAAGACTTCTTTAAAGTGCTCAAAAAAGGAGGTCACATTAAAGACTGAAAGTGTGCCCTGCCCCAAGCAAATATATTTTCCATTTTTCTGTGTATGCAAAAGAGTGAAGAACATGGATGCATTTTAGCTGTGGTGTTGGCTAAGAATATTGACTATACTCTGTACGACTGAAGGAACAAACAAATCTGTCTGCGGAGAAGTACAGCCAGAATGCTCCTTAGAAGAGAAGGTGGTGAGAAGTCATCTCACATACTCAGGGCATGGTATCCCGTCCCAGGAGCAGGACATCATGCGTGGAAAAACAGATGGTCACCAAAAGAGAGGCAGACCCTCTATGAGACGGAATGACAGAGTGACTGCAACAATGGGTTTAAACTCAGTCTCAGAAAGATTGTGGGAATGAACGGCAAGGGATCAGGCAGGGCTTTGCTCTGTGGTAGGTACACAGCGCTGCTGTGAGGCTAGGCCAAAATCAATGGCACATAACACCACCACCACTATCACCACTCAAGAGAATAAATGTTTGCCTGTTAAAGTCATCTACTTGTAGGCAAGCCAAACACCATTCATCTTTTACTTTAGAAGGTACTTCCATTTTTCCCAATATTAGGAAAATTAAGAACATAATAAAATGTATCTTCATTCACACAGAAAATAAAACTGTTGTCCCTGAATTTCTAAGAGGTTGCACTGAAAAAAAACTCAAAACAGCTTTGTCAAAGAATGAATTATAGCAAATATTTCAGTCATGTCTACACAACAGATACTGTAATTACAAATTATTCCTATCTAGTCCATGAAAGTCTTAGGCAGAAAAGAACTGTCTTCCTTGTTCAGTGTGCATCCCCAGCACCTGGAAGCGATCAGCAGTTAGTAGATGACCTGGTTTGAACATTTATTCTTTGGTTTTTGAGAACTGTGAGATGTGGTTAGTACATTTCCTTTGTTTTGCTTTCTGTTAAAACTAATGTACCCACTTTTAAGGATACAGTATGGGGTCTCAATTTGTCTTTTCAGAGAATATTAAAAATCTTTCCCGAGAAGAATCTCCCTTCTGTCTGTGTGTTCCCTCAGGGTCAGCTTGGAGGTATGTGACCTCTAACCAAGTTCCTGACTTTTCCAAGTTGTCTCTGCCTCCCCAGCCCAGCACCTCTGCCCAACGTACTTCGACATGGACACCAATCTTCCCTCCTACAGCTCTCTCTTATTCACCCTCACTTCATCTGATCACTTCTGATGCTAAACCAAGACAATCCAAATTCCAGGAGGGCAGAAACTTTGCTTTGCTCCCGGCTGCATCCCAAGAATGGTGCCTGATATTGGGTAAGTTCTCCCCACAGAACTGCTTCGAGTGAACATGCTGTCCCCTCAATCAGACTGGGTAAGCTTACTGGTTCTTTAGAAAATGTTGTTGTTCTTAGGTGCCCTGCAGTCGACTATGACTCACAGCAAGCCCACAAACAAGAGAACTGAACCCCGTCCTATCCTGCACCATCAGCACAATCTCTGACACACTGGAGCGCACTGTTCCAGTCACTGTGTCAGCCCATCTCGAGGGTCTATCACTCCACCTCAGAAGCATGATGTCTCTCCAAGGCCTGGTCCCTCCTGACATGACCCAAGCACCTGAGACAGAGCTCCTCCCTCCTTCCCTCTGAAGAGCATTCTCGATGCACTTTCTCCAAGACATGCTTGCTTGTTCTTGTGGAAGCCCATGGGACACCCAGTACCCAGCAATTCTTCACAATTCAAACACATCAATTCTTCAGTTGTCCTTATTTGCTGTCCAACTATCAGATGAATAGGAAGCAACTGAAAATACCACGGCTTGGATCAGGCACACTTCAGTCTTTAAACCAAGACTGCTGCACTCTGGAGGGATCCTTAACAGCAGATTTTCGTGGAACTGAAAATGGATTAAGTGAATCCACTGTGTAATCTCTGTATTTAGAGTTGTACATAGTATGCATGGTAACACAGTAAGTTCTTTTTTTTAAGTCCAATGATCTCTCCCTCACTTGAGGGTTGTAACTATATCTCACTCATCTCTACTCACTCAATGATCATATTTTCCAGGAAACAGTGGGTGTTTCCAAGCTTATAGGACCGAAGTCTGCTTCAAGAGTAAGAGTGCTTATCTACAGAGGTCTAGATTTCCGATCAAGGCCTTACCTCTAGGGCCAGCTCCACAGAACCCTCAGCTCTCCCTGTGCAAACACTACACACTCTGTTGGAAGAGTCTGTTTTCGTTGACTGTTTGCTCTTTTAGGCTATCTGGGGACAGGGCTTGGGCCTGGGCACACACTTGGCATGTGGTCACCAGTCTCCCCAGTGCTTCAAAGGCCTCTGACACCCAGTCAGCACTCAAGTATGTAATGAATGATGGCTGAACTACAGAAACAGAAAACAAAGGGAAGCTATCTATATTCCAGGTGCAGGATGAGGGACAATCTTCAATACACTGATGATGATGCTTCTTGCTGTTTTTAGGTATTGTTGAGTCAAGTACAACTCATAGTGACCAACCCTCTGAATATGTGACCTGAATCCATGCCAACCTCTTCATCTCTGACACACTAGAGACCACTGAAGTCACTGCAACAATCTGTCTTGTTGGGGGTCTTCCTCTACTTCGCTGACCCTCCATCTTTCCAAACATGATGACCCTTTCCAAAAATAGCCTTGGCTAGCCACATGTTCAAAGTAAGAAAAACGAAGCTTTATCATCTTTGCCTCTAAGGAACACTCTGGCTGCACTTTCTCCAAGACTTATCTGTTCTTCTGGCAGTCCATGGGATCTTCAGTACTCTTCTTCCGCCTGCTGTCTTTCAAAAGCTCAGTTATGGAGAACTGTCAACACCAGAACATTTATTCTTCCGATACTTTCCTCTAAGTGAAGTCTGGTCATCGGCGTCTCAAATAGAGATCAGAAAACATCAACAGCACCGTTGCTAGAGCTACTGCTACTGGTCTCATGGAGTGGTGAGGAACAGCCCTATGAAATTCGTCACTACAAAGACAGCGCTCACGATGCAGTCTCTTGTTGAGAGGACACATGGCAGGCTGTCCTTTGTCTGCTGTTTGGCCTCAAATAACCAGTTTGTCACTGGACACAGTGATTACATCTCCCTCAAGCTGGCTACTCAACAACTTTGAAACTTGAACATGTGGCCTACCTGCCTCTGGTGTCTCGTATGCATTTTAGGTCACATCTTGTTTATTTCACTATCTTCATTTTGCCTTAAAGACCCATCCTCAAAGATGTGGTTTGCCAGGGTCTGCAACAATGGGCTCAAATATAGCATCTACCGTGAAGCTGGCACAGAGCTCAACAATTCAGCTCTGTCATGCACAGGGTCCTTCTGAGTGGGAAGCAAGCCAATGACACCCAACAATTCTTTTCTCTTTAGGTCTCATTTTTCTCTCTTTGAAACTATTTTCTTATTTTCTCTGTATTCATAAGTCATTAGGAATCACTGAATGACTTTAAAAGAAACATTTCCCTTTACTTTCTTTAGTAACTGTGAAATCTAATGCTGTTCTTTAATTATTACACATTCCAACAGAACTGTTACATTTTTCTGGTTTGTATTTACTGGTGCCCTGGAGAAGTTACTTTACTCCTTAAAATGTTTCTTTAAACTGGCAATCAACACTACACAGGGTTGATTATGAATATAAAAAAAGTTATACAGAACTATGCCTGGTATATACTAACTGCTAAATTTGTTATGGTTGGTTGGTATGTATCATGGAGTCAGAACCAACCTATGTCAGACCCTCCAGCAGGTCTTCTAAGCCAGTTAATCCATGGGAGACTGCCCGTCTTTGTCCTGTGAAGCAGCTGGTGTTCGCACTGGGTGCTTTTGAGTTGGCAGCTCACCTCTACCGCACTAAGCCACCAGAACTCCCTAAATAGGTATTAGCTCTTATTATTTTTTTTACTGCCAAATGCATCAATTAAAATCAGGCAAAATAAAAAATGATATTACTACTTCTCCTCTGACAACTATTAACACTCACATATGCTTATTCTAAGCAACCACGGCAGTGCAGTGGTTATATATATTCAGCTGTTAACCCAAAGGTCTGTGGTTCAAACCCAAGAGTTGCTCCTGGGAAAAAAGATGTGATGGTCTGCTTCCATAAAGAGTCAGCGTTTTAGAAAACCTATGGACCCGTGTGATGCGGTCCTTGAGGAATCCTCTGAGTTGGAAGTGATACGTGCAGTGGGTTTGGCTTTTGTTTGTTTTTATGCTTGTTCTAGACTTTGTCTAAAGCCTTGGAAAAGATTACAAAGATATAACAGTCTTCCATAGGTTAAAGTACAAAAAGCTCTGGCTACATAAACAAAATAATTAGACATCATAAAAGATGTTAATATTTAAAATAAAGTTTCTTGGATCTAGAAAGATGTTTTTATAAACTGAATGGTCAGGAAAAGAAAGAAGCTAATGGAGTCATTAAAAAACAAAGTAATCACAAACTTCTCTGGAGACTTGCTATAGGTCTTCTGAACAATTTTTATAATTCAAAGGTATTTTGAAATCTTGTTTAAAATAAAACCTCCATAATAAACAAAAGTAAGCACCACTATCTCTTAGCACTGAAGGTCTGTGGCAATGGAAGCAGCAGAAGGCAGGCAAAAAGGAAAACCAGGTCAAGTCCTATCTTTACCACTTCCTGAACATCTGACTTTGGGTAAAACATTCTTCAAGGTGCCTTGTGCATCAATTTTTAAAATCTCCTCTTCTTTTCCAATAGGCCTCACTTGTAGAATGACCTCACTTTCAAGATTTTTAAAACCTTTCACCATTTGGCTGTGTAACTTGGCAGAAAGGGGCAAGAATTCAGACTGCATTTTAGATAATAAGTGTGGACTAAATATAATAAACACCCCCAAACTGTCAACTAGCTAGGTGAATCCACTTTCATTTTCAATATGGTTTCATCATCTCCGCCTGTTTTGTTAAACACGACATCAGACATTATCAATGCTGATGTACCTTGATTGTTGGAACTATTTGCCAAAGATTACTCACGAACGCCTTGAAATGAAAACAATGCCTACCTTGGGCTTTTCCAACTTATTTACCTAAAGGAGCTTTGGCACAATGGTTAGGAAGTTGGCTATGAACCAAAAGTCTGGTGGTTCAAACCCACCTAGCAGTTCTGATGACGAACAATCTGCTCCAGTTAAAGACAGTAACTCAGAAAATCTCAGGACACAGTTCTGCTCTGTCTCCCAGGGTTACAATGAGTAGTCAAGACTGATTCAACAGCAGGAATACCAACCACCACAGCAGTATGTCTGAATGTAAATTTGAACCATCCCTTCTATCCAAAATTCCTTAATGTAAAAATGTATGGTACTACATTGTAGCAAGACTTGCACAATCTACTAGCAGTATTAACCGAAGGAAACCTGTGGCCTAGTGGGAAGGAAGCTGTGCAGGCTGTTGGAACCCACCAGCGGCTCCAGGCGAGAAAGATGAGCAACCGCCTCCTGTGTGTTTTTTTTTTAGCCTCTGGAAACCTGGAAGGTCCTCTGTGAGTTAATTCTGACTCAATGACACATAACAAAGTCGTCTATGGCTTATCTTCAAGTAGTCACCTGTCAAAGGGCACAGCTCACGTACACTTTGGGCAAGTTGCAGGCGGGGCCAGCGCCTGGAAAAGGACATCATACTTGGGGAAGGAGAGGCAGCCTCTCCACTAGACTCAGAGAGAAAGGAACAAGGAGCTTTAGGCCAACAGTAGATTGTGGCGACGGCAGTTTTCAGCGTTGTTTTACTCTGCTGTTTAAAGGGTCACTGAGTTAGCATCTAACAAGTAGCAAAACAGGTGTTCATTTTCACAAGCAAGTTTGATCATCTCTAGCTGGGACTCTCAAGGTTAATCTATTTTAACAATTTCCTCTCACTGCCATCAAGTCAGAACCAACTCACAGCTGATTCTCCAGTGGATTTTGGGAGGTTGTGTATGACAGGAGGATTTCACCCACCAGGCAGGCTAGGACTTGAGTTTAGCAGCACAATTATCTATGGATTAGGATACCAGAGTTCCCTATTTCACCAATACTGTTGTTGCTGGGTACCATCGAATCTGAAGCAACGCATGGCTGACCTTCCACTGAGTTTTCTGAGGCAATAAACCGCAGGGGAGAAAGAAGACTTCCCACCCTTCTCCCATCCAGCAGCCGGTGGATTTGAACCACAAATCTTTGAGACTGCAGTACAGCTTATTACTAGATAAGCCTACTTCAACTCTTTATACTCCAAAATGCAGCTAAGTAATATATTTTTGAAACTCCCTGACCTGCAATTAACTACAATGCCTACAGTTTACTCTCAACTTCAATTTCTCCCTTGACACTATTTTTACCTTAATAGTAAAAAGAAATAGTTAGGGTTGTTGTTTTTTGTTTTTTTTTTAACTTATTGCCTTCCAGTTCATTGTGACTCATGCATGGTAACCCTCCAAGGCGTTTCAGAGGCTGGAAACCACTTGAGAGGAGGGGACAGCCTAACTTTCTCCCACTGGGTGGAGGTGGATTCGAACGGCCTACCTTTCAGTTAGCAGAATGAAAGGGGGTAGTGGTGTAATGAACCCTTTGGGGGGAAAAAATCCAAGAAAAGAAAATTCAACTGTCTGCCGTCTCCAGCAAACGTCATGATAACACCATTTCATAGAAAAAGAGTGTCTGAAACTTAACCCCCCAACCCCACCCGCGGCCGCGGATCCCGCTGCTGCGCCTGCCTCTGCCGCCACCGCCATGCAAACGTGAAAGCCACGGTCAGACGGGAGGGTTCTACCCGCAAACGTGTGCACACCCCGGAGCCCACAACCTCCCACCTTGGACAGGTTTTGGGGCCAGACTCCCCAAGTGCTTGGGGCTCATTTTTTTTGGAGGAGGCCAAAAGGATCCGAGGTTAATCACAGGTCTCAGGCCCAGCTTCCCGGGATCATAATGGGAAGTTGTGAGGTGCCATCGAGGCAGAGCCGACCCACGGCGGCCCCTCCAGCGGGTCTCGCCCAGCTTTCCAGCCGGTGGATTCGAACCCCCGTACCTCTGGACGGGCGGCACACGCCTTACCACTAACCGCCGAATGGGGGCGCGGGCGGGAAGCGAGCGGTGGCCGCGGAAGCCCGTGCGGGACAGGTGCCGCCGTCCGAGGGACGGGACGCGGGGTCGTTAGAGC